TGTTTTCTTACATAGAACAATTATTTTTTTATTTGTTGTATTAAAATTACACAATTTTTACATTTGTTTTGGGGGTCGCCCATAAATGACGTCACACTCGTAGGGGGAGGGGGTCCGTAATTTTGTGACGGTGTGTGATTAGGGGGAAAGGGGTTCAGATTGAACGACGCCACAATTTTGCATTATAAAAACGCAATGTTAGAAAAGGAATTTTAGACGTTATTTCGCGTATTAGAAAACTGTTTTAATAAATTGTAATAAGAATTGATCAATATACTCTATGTTGACTGTGTTCTGACAAGATTTTAGAAAAATATCGATGTTTTAAAAAAAAATTCAACTGCAATTTTGAGAGGGGTTGTAGGCTGAGGTGTGACGTCATTTTAGAGGGGGGGGGGGCGTGGGTTTTTGTGACGACGTGTGACGGAGGGGAGGGGGGGGGGGAGGTAAAAATCGTCCAAAAAGGCGTGACTTCATTTATGGATGATCCCTTGAATTAGTTAATTGATATTTCATTCATAAATAGCTTAAAAATATGCAGAATTTGTAAATAAAAAAGACAGTATGTTTTAAACTAAGATATGTGTGTGGTATTGAAGCTTACATATTATTTTAATACTAACTTTGTATTATCACATAATCATATCTAAAACAGCCAGACAGAGTGCATTGAATGTGACAGGCAAGTTGATAAGTCCCGGATACCCACTACGTTATTTGAATAATGAGGAAATTTCATGGATTCTATCAACACGCGCTGAAACTCGTCTCATATTGAAGTAGGTCATCGAGTCTCTTGCGCTACATTAAATTGTTAAAAAAAAATAAAAGACAGTAACATTATATTTAATCTCATAAAACATATTTTTTTAGCATAGATTTTGTAGAAACAGAGTCCAGTGGCACAGAATGTATCACCGTGTACGACGGGGCTACTAAGAATGCTAAAAATTCTAAAAAAGTTTGTGTCAGGGGAGGCTCAGCTGTGATTGTATCGACAACAAGCAACTTGTTGATCACTTCTACAATAGCCGGATACTTTACGTACAAAGGATTTTATGCGGAGTTTAACTCAGTTGGTTAGTATATTACAATTTAGAATTGCGTAGTAGACATAAGAAATGCAGGTGTACTATACCTTGAAAGCTAGAAAGAAACTTGCACGAATGCGACGTCTCCAAATCTACTTTCCCACATATATCCATATATATATATATATATATATATATATATATATATATATATATATATATATATATATACAAAAACTACGAACATAGGATATTCATTTTTGGCCTAATCTTATTTTTTTTTAAAAAAACATCTTTGGTTTTTTTTTTAAATAAAAACAATTTCAACAAAATGCCATTTGTGGGAGTACATTAGTCTGTTTTGAAAATCTCAGTTTTATTTTATGTCTGCCTTAATACTTCTTAACCTCAAGTCGGTCAAAAACATATACAGCATAAAAGCTTTGTATGTATGATGGCTTCTCGTGTTATGTTTTTATGTTATTTTTTTTATTTATATTATTAATTTTTACTAAACTTTATTTTTATACTGTATCATTCTTTAGGAAGTATTTTTAAAAAATTGCTTTTTAATGTGTTTAGTTCATATCTATTGAAAGGAGCTTATGAACACCCTTATTTGACTATTTAAAAAAAAAAGAAATAAATCTTGGAGGTGGTTTGAAACTAGTTGGTGAACACTACCACCTAGATAAGCAAGCTTAGTTATTGGGGCGCTAGTTTGTCAACACTACCACAGACACGCCCCGGTTTACGCTGATGGGCGTCGTGGGGCTCTTGGGACGGCCACCAGCGGAGGTGCCTAATGCAGCGAGACTGATGATTCAAGTAGTACACCTATCCCCCATTACAGAAAAAAAGATAATCCAACCGCAGCTACAGTACTATTTTATAAAACAACCATCAAGTCAAAAATGCAAGAACATAAAATGTTTAACTATAAAAAATAGATTATAGTCAGTTGTGGGCCCCCCTTAACGTCGTGACCCGTCCCGGGTAAATTTAACCATCTTGACTTATAGGGACGTTCTTGTTGTGTGAAACTGTGTTTATTTTTTTGTACATTTAATGATTTAGCTTATTTCAACCCCCCCCCCCCATCCCCCATCCCACCCCCAATATATATGCATACAAACTCCACCAAAAATATGAGCATTTGTACAACACGCTCTTAAAAAACGTCCTAGATCAGCTCACGCGCGGGCAAAGGTCCTGCATTTTTCCTTTCTGCTAGTATTGACATATCAAAGATAAGCAAAATCGTATTCTACAGAGCACACTTTATGTTAACAATTACCCTAAGATTTTTACTGATATTAAAACCCAAAGTTATAAAAGAGAAATGGCTTAACTGAGCCTGCAAACTCAAACAAAGATTACACTTGTCAATTAATATCGATCTTTATGTTGTTGACGGTCTATACCCAGTAGGAATAACACAAACAGCAGATGTACAGACGCTAAATTAGACAGACCTTGTTGTTATAACTGGGTTCTACATGTGTACCACATTTATGCAGTGAGAGGTTAGAACTACTTGATCCAATATTATATTCCGATACCACTACCATTTCATTATGTCTAGCCATGGAATAGTGTATCTTGAGACACGACGACATCAACGCTTACAAATGATTTGACAGAATGACATTGCTGACTATTTCTATTTATGGCAGTATAAGAAATAGACATCGGAAGACTTGAACAAACGATACTAAGACTGGACAACCTAACCCTAAATTCACACGAACAAGACTAATTGAAGCTTCTTCCCCGGCAACAACGAACTCACACTAAAACGTCACTTTCTTGCGCACCGCGTCACACTTTCACTCGTTTAATATTATAGCTTCGCACCAGCATTCATGCGCAACAATTTGTCAAGTCAAACATACATCATAACACTTGTGATAAAAAAGAAGTAAGCTATAGAGATCTACTTGCGATGAGTTTTAAAAGTGTTTTTATGTAGGTCCTAGTGGTTTCAATAATAAGCCTGTTGTTGTTGTTTTTTTGTTGTGTGTTATTAACCGTAAACGGAGAAAAAACGCACCCTCACGTGGCGCCGCCCTTGCTAAAAAACGATTTTTTTTTTTACAAAACCCTTCCCCAGAGTGTTCCAATCAACTCCTCTAAAGTCTCATGGCTGTCGGATAACCGTGTCGAACCGAAATCGACTTTTATTTTGATATACCGTAAATAGAGAAAAATCGCACCCTCCCGTGGCGCTGCCCTTGCCAAATTAAAAATAATTTTTTACTGAACCCTTACCTAGAGTTTTATAATAAACTCCCCAAAGTTTCAAGCCTATCGGATGAACAGTGACACGGCAACTCACTTTTATTATTTTTGTTTACTGTGTATAAAGAAAAATCGCACCCTCCCATGGCGCCGCCTTTGTGAAATTAAAAATTAATTTCTTACATAACCCTTCCACAAAGTGTTTTAATGAACTCACCAAAGTTTGATGGCGATCGGATGAACGGTGTCAAATAAAAATCGACTTTTATTTTTAAATAGCGTATACAGAAAAAAAAACAAATCGCGCCCTGCCGGGGCGCCACCTTTGCGAATTTCAAATATTTTTTTTCGCAGAAACATCCCCAGGAATATTCTCAACAACTTACCGAAGTTTAACGGCGATGTGATAAGAGGTGTGGTAATATAGCATGTCTAATGCACCTTTTTATATGCTTTAGTTAAAATGAGTCCGATCAAAAACCATATTTCCTTCTGTGTTTCTACGAAGTTGTTTGTCAATGCCTGTATCGTCTATTATGTTTTAATTATGTTCAATATAGTAAGCAAAATTTTGCTTTCAATTGTTTTTCGCATTCAGGTTTAAAGTGCAGCTCTTGATGAACACATATTATCATGTTTTGCCTATCTATATCTTTACTACTGTGTCGATGTCCATCTTGCTCACATAAAATACCTCAAAGGCCACACAATTCATTTACCTCCTGCAATGAAGAGGGCATCCAATGGGCATGAATATCAATAAAAATTTTCTCCACGTCCTTTGTCTTTTGGCTATTGCTTTCTAGACCGACTTTGAATGATACCAAGTCTTCTCTACCATCTGCTGTTGGATTTTTGAGAGAACTACAATGTCTTCCTTAAAGTTAAGAGCTTTTTCCTTTTTTCATTGTTGGATGCATTTATGATCATGCTGCAATACGTTTGAACTCTTTGGCGTCCTAAAAAATCGACCTGTTTGGTTTGTCTGAAACAATTTACAGCGAATCATGAATTGTTTGCTTTATAACATTATTTGTCAAAAAGAAAACAAAATAAAAAACTAGCATAGCTTGATTTGTGCTTGAAACAACATCCACTTAAATCACTTTGTAATTTTACATCTTTCATTGTAATTTGTTTTATTCTCCATCCATTTGTTGGAACTGATGTGTAGTTTTCTTAAAAAGTTATCAATTCAAATGAAAAAAATGCAATCGATATGTTTTTGCATTCAGCTGTTGGATCGAGTCAAAAGTATGTTTGCTTCTTTTTTTTAAATTTAAAAACTTTGCATTTTCACCCCCGCTCTTACAAACTGTGCTTCTACTTAGTTGCGTTAAATTATCATTATCGAAAAGCTTAGTAATAGTGCTTAACAAAACAAATTAACTAATTCTATTTTTTTGTTCTCATGTTTCTGAGTTTCAATATATCTTCTTCACTTTGGCTATAGGCTTAACCAGAAATGGGAAGTATCTTTTAACTCGAACTTTAGTGTTAAAATTGTTTAAACGTTTAAAGATGAACACACTTTTCTGAGTTCTTACACATGCAACTGTATGTAACATTATCTATTTGAATTACATTTAAAGATAACATTCTTTAACATGATTCGAATGTTAAAACTGACATAATTTAAATATTACAACCATAGACAACCACATCACACTGAACGATCCTCAAGGTAACATCTCTAGCCCTGGATATCCGTTTGGCAACCTGCACAACATGAGATACACCTGGACTATACAGGGCAATGCTGACAGTTATATTCTCCTTGAGTAAGTTGTTGTTTTAAGTTGTTTTTTTTTAATAAATTAAAACCTCGTATTTTAGTATTTGTTAAATATTTCAGAATAAAATTATTTGCAATTGTAAGTTCCAGCACAATGATAGCATATTCAAATTACGACACCTTATCATTTTTCCAGTATTTCAGACATAGGAGAAGATTCCCAGTATGGTTACTTAAGAATATACGACGGACCCACAACATTTTCACCGATGTTTGGAAATTTCTGCTCGTCAGTACCACCAGGGTTAATGGTCTCAACAGGAAACTCTATGTTCATCGTGCTCAAACAGCATGGTCCCAATACATATAAAGGCTTTTTCGGAAATTATGAGATACGGGGTAAATAATTACGGTACTATATTTGATGCAGAGAAGTTCTTGTGTCTTCTAGTGAAAAAAAGAAAACATAATATCTGAAACTGCCCTAAATGGAACAATCATAGATATTATTACGATTGCTTTTCTGACCGCCACAGATCTAGCGAACGCCCCGGGTTCGTTTTGATACGGTAAATGACAGAGGTCTACTAAAGTATGTAAGAACATAACAAATTTCAAAGCGGGCTCGATAATAAGATCTAGGGGTATAAGCACGCTGAACTCATGTGACTCACAACAAGGAGAAACTGTCAACAACAGTGTAATAAGTGTACAGAAATAAAAATGACACTTGGTCTATACAAAATATTATAAAAACTAAGAGTAAATAATAATCCACAAGCCAACTTACAGCCAACTCACAGTTGATGAAATAAATCACTAGACTATATTACAAATATCATAGGTGCGGCATTGCAGAATAAATACAACTTAAATAAAATATTGGAAACACTGAATGGCACTAGAAACACCCATAATAGGGGGGAAATGCCGCTACAAACTATGTAATACAAAATGGCGTCACACACATGGCACACACTCTCGAGATGTCAGAAAAGGCCTCCACTGAGCTTTTGTTCAGGGGTTTTTAAACAGAATCAAAACCATGGGAGGTCACTCAAAAGTCGTAAGACCATTGGTTGGGATTTTACTAAAATTCGAAATAACCAATTAAAATTTCATCACATGACGTGACGGAAAAGTACTAGTGATTGTACCACTCTCCCAAGGTCGGTTACATAAACCAAAAACTAAACTATAAAAATACAAGGCCTAAGTAGGTCACAATATTTAGAGGATATTTTATTACTAGCGCCATATTCCATTGACTTAAAAAAAAATCAATTAGTGTAGCGACGCTGACATCTAATCATTCGTGAAATACAAACATGTGTAACACTGTCTCAGTGTGGATGTGGTGTGGTGTCACCCACTGAGGGGTAGTGTTTCTACAGGCTGACCCTGAGAGACAACTCAAACAATGACGCTCTTGCTGTCAGATCCTGATTTATATCACACCAAGTGGAAGCAGGCCTACTAAAACCAGTACTATGAGGACAAGTCCTATTTCAAATTCATAACCACAAATCTATATACGGCAAATCCGTATCTTCCAGACTTTTTTCCCGGGGGGGGGGGGCACTTGAAATCTTCGGGGGGGGGTAAACTTTCTTCGGGGGGGGGGGGGGGGGCGGACACTGTTAAAAGTATATATTTTCTATATAAATTATATAAATTTCATTTTGTTCGGAGGGGCGGTAAAAAATTTTCGGGGGGGGGGGGCTTTGTCCCCCCGATGAGATGCCTGGAAGAAACTCTGGCCGTATAACAAATGTCAGCCAGCAATAGGTTACATATTTGAAGACACCATTACGTGTAGGTTATAATATAAATACACGGGTGTCATAAAATAGAAGTTTACGGCCAGTATACAATACTGCTAACATTTAGTATTATAAATAAAATACTTCACACAACTAGTCCGCGTATTTAGTATGATAATAAGCCGGCAGTGATCCCCTCTAAATTTTCTCGAATATTCTTATATAACACAAGTGGATGGCAACTCGGAATATAGACAAGATGTTTTAATCAATTTTATTTACTTAAACTTTCTAAAACAGAAAAGAATCTTGAAGAAAAAAATAATTCGCACAAAGTGAATGGCAAACAATATGTGTATAAAAGTGCAGAATATTTTTAGTACTTTAAAAATTCATTTGCATTTTTTGAGTAATCGAGAATAGCGTAAACTATTACTTCCGGCAACGGAAATTACTCACAATTTTTAAAGAAAGCAGACAATTAAATTATTTACTAATATGTTAAATTTCGTTTATCTATCTGAAACAGTACTCAAGTTATAGGCTTTTGAAAAACTAAAAGTAGAATAAGAATCAATTCCGGTTATCACAAAATCGCCGAATAGTTAATACAGAACGCGGGAAACAATGCTCACCAAATGAATTACAAATTTATTTCACCTTACTGGTAACTCATGGTATGTGTTACTCATGTTTGGTAGGCGTGTTTAAAATTGCTGAATGAAAATAAAAAATATTAGACTTAAATGGCGAAACATATAAGAAAATTCATTTACAATTTTTGTACATGAGGAGTATCAATCGAGGATACATTTGTTAAGTGTTATATTTCCTGAAACTAGTTGATCAACCGAATTGTTTGCTAGAAGTAAAATGAATAATATTTTATGGAGCGTCACTTTATGTAATAGTTTCAGAGCACAAACCGACGATAGCTGGCGTTAACAATAAATTAAGGGACGTTTAAATTTTTTTTCAAGGAGAACAACTCATATTTTTGTCGCTTTCGTTCGGTAAAAAAAAGCTGGCTATAACTTTAACACAATCTAAAGACAATCAAGAATATTTTGATATTTGATATTTTAAAAAAAAATTAAAAATTGTGATCTAACTATTAAACTGATACTTTTATATTTTTATTTGGACATTGAAAATTGGGGGCCCTAAGTTGCATCCCATCTCAGTCCTTCCCTCATTAATCCGCTACTGTATCTATATCTGTATCTGTATCTGTATCTGTATCTGTATCTGTATCTGTATCTGTATCTGTATCTGTATCTGTATCTGTATCTGTATCTGTATCTGTATCTGTATCTGTATCTGTATCTGTATCTGTATCTGTATCTGTATCTGTATCTGTATCTGTATCTGTATCTGTATCTGTATCTGTATCTGTATCTGTATCTGTATCTGTATCTGTATCTGTATCTGTATCTGTATCTGTATCTGTATCTGTATCTGTATCTGTATCTGTATCTGTATCTGTATCTGTATCTGTATCTGTATCTGTATCTGTATCTGTATCTGTATCTGTATCTGTATCTGTATCTGTATCTGTATCTGTATCTGTATCTGTATCTGTATCTGTATCTGTATCTGTATCTGTATCTGTATCTGTATCTGTATCTGTATCTGTATCTGTATCTGTATCTGTATCTGTATCTGTATCTGTATCTGTATCTGTATCTGTATCTGTATCTGTATCTGTATCTGTATCTGTATCTGTATCTGTATCTGTATCTGTATCTGTATCTGTATCTGTATCTGTATCTGTATCTGTATCTGTATCTGTATCTGTATCTGTATCTGTATCTGTATCTGTATCTGTATCTGTATCTGTATCTGTATCTGTATCTGTATCTGTATCTGTATCTGTATCTGTATCTGTATCTGTATCTGTATCTGTATCTGTATCTGTATCTGTATCTGTATCTGTATCTGTATCTGTATCTGTATCTGTATCTGTATCTGTATCTGTATCTGTATCTGTATCTGTATCTGTATCTGTATCTGTATCTGTATCTGTATCTGTATCTGTATCTGTATCTGTATCTGTATCTGTATCTGTATCTGTATCTGTATCTGTATCTGTATCTGTATCTGTATCTGTATCTGTATCTGTATCTGTATCTGTATCTGTATCTGTATCTGTATCTGTATCTGTATCTGTATCTGTATCTGTATCTGTATCTGTATCTGTATCTGTATCTGTATCTGTATCTGTATCTGTATCTGTATCTGTATCTGTATCTGTATCTGTATCTGTATCTGTATCTGTATCTGTATCTGTACCTGTACCTGTATCTGTATCTGTATCTGTATCTGTATCTGTACCTGTACCTGTACCTGTACCTGTACCTGTACCTGTACCTGTACCTGTACCTGTACCTGTACCTGTACCTGTACCTGTACCTGTACCTGTACTTGTACCTGTACCTGTACCTGTACCTGTACCTGTACCTGTACCTGTACCTGTACCTGTACCTGTACCTGTACCTGTACCTGTACCTGTACCTGTACCTGTACCTGTACCTGTACCTGTACCTGTACCTGTACCTGTACCTGTACCTGTACCTGTACCTGTACCTGTACCTGTACCTGTACCTGTACCTGTACCTGTACCTGTACCTGTACCTGTACCTGTACCTGTATCCGTATCCGTATCCGTATCCGTATCCGTATCCGTATCCGTATCCGTATCCGTATCCGTATCCGTATCTGTATCTGTATCTGCATCTGCATCTGCATCTGCATCTGCATCTGCATCTGCATCTGCACCTGTACCTGTACCTGTACCTGTACCTGTACCTGTACCTGTACCTGTACCTAAACCTGTACCTGTATCTGTATCTGTATCTGTATCTATATCTATATCTATATCTATATCTTTTCATTCTTTTTCATTTCGTACATGTTCAGTACGTTGCAGTTTTATTTAGTGTATTTTTTCTTCTATTTAAAACAGACAGACACTGTACATTTTTTATGTCCGGCAAGTTGGCAAGTCCTGGATATCCTTTACAATATTTGAATCATCAGACATTTTCATGGAATCTTTTAACTGGTGTTGAAAATCTGCTAATTCTAAAGTTAGTCATTCTTTTACTTTCCTTACAGAATTTGGTAACAAATTAACATTGTACAAAACCTTGTACATAATTCTTATTATTTCTTGTAGCATTTCGTTTGTGGAAACACAGTCTTGTGACACAGACTATATAACAGTATACGACGGAGCTATACAGACTGTACGAAGTTTTAAAAAAGTTTGTGGAATGAAAGGATCGGCAGTGATTGTATCGACGACCAACAACCTATTCGTCACGTTTGAAACAGACCATTTCAATACGTCTACGGGATTTTATGGGGAGTTTTATTCACACAGTATGCGTTTAATAATATTTTACTTTTTTACATTACCATACGAAAAGTAGGTATACGATACGTAAAATAAAGTAATATGTTAACACGACACAACAATTTTACCAAAGACTCTTGCACAAAGACCTATTCTCTCAGTTGGATGATAGCCTGAAAATATATTTAGCAACATTACAATGTGAAATGTTTTCAAGCTTTTACTATGTCCAGTGGCGTGTCGAGGGGGGGAGGGGTGTAAACCGCACCGAGTGACACCATTTAGAGTGGTGACACCAAGACAGAAAATAGCAAAGTATATAGAGAAAAATGATAATTCCACTTAATTAAGTGATTTATTCGAGTGTTTAATAGTCTTTTAAGAGGTGCCAATTGAAAGTTTGAGGGAGAGGGGTTACAAATCGAAAGTTTGAAAAGGGGGGTATTAAAATTAAAAAAGGGGGGTATTAAAATCGAAAATTAAAAGTTTATCCCCGAGAAGGGTCGCTACGACTCTGGGGGGTGACACCAATAGTGCCGCAGCGGGTGACACCCGACCTCGCTACGCCACTGTTTATGTCACAACGTGCGATGGTTTGTTTTTAGCTCATATTTTTACTCAATTTTGAAAGTCTTCTAACGCAGCGATTCATTCAAATTTTCAAGCTAAATTTTACTTTAAAAATACATGGGTATCAGTTTCTCACCTTTAATTAGAGAGACAATTTAATTTTAAAATTAACGTATTCAAATTAAATGGTGTGACAACAAGATAAAACACTAGCCAGCTTTCCATTGATCAGAGAGCCATTGTGAGTGAACTATTATTTCACTGATGGCTGATTTCACATGGCGAATAGTAGGAGCAGTTAATAATCTTTTAGAAATCACAAGCTACTGAACGGGTTTAACGCATATATTTTTTGTCTTAGTTGTAGTGTCAACTTCATTTCTAAAGAATGACTGATAGTGGAAAATAAAACAGATATTTAAAAATATTGTAATAATAATTTAATTAGAAGCTTAACTACTTATTACATTTAATTGAAAGATTGTTAAATTCAATAACTTTAGATAACTAGCTATCAGTCTATAGCTGTACGGTCAGTCTGCTGGGCTGTGGCTCATGTTGTTTGGTCAAAATCGGTATTGTCGTCCACAAACTAAAGGGAGCTAAAATACTTTGAAAGTTAATGTTCGGGGTTTACCTCAAATATTTTTAGTCATAGCCTAGAACAAATAATTAAAAAGTGTAAATTATGAAATATATAAAAAAAACTTTTATAATAGCAAAAATATGCAACATATCTCATTGAAGACAAATGTTTTTTTTTTCTAAAGAAAGCAAGTTTGTTCTTTAATTTTTTTTCGGTGTTGAAAGATAAGAATGCAATAGCATAAGTATTTTATCAAAATCGTAGATCCGTATCAACTTTTGAGCGAATTCCAATAACCGGAAGTGGTACTTTTTCTACTTTGAATTTTTCAAAAGCCTATAACTTGAGTACTATTTCAGATAGATAAATGAAATTTGATATGTAAGTAAAAGAGCTAATTCTCTACCTTCTGTCAAATTGTGAGTAATTTCCGTTGACAGGAAGTACTAATTTACGCTATTTCCGATTTCTCAAAAAACGCATGTAAATTTATAAAGTACTAATAATATTGCGCACTATTATGCGCTTTTTTATTTAGCGTTCACTTGGTGTGCATTTCTTTTTTCTACGAGATTATATTCTATTTTAAGAAATGTGAGTATTTAAAATGGATTAAAAAATCATGTCTAGAAGTCTATATCCCGAGTTGCCATTCCCTGTAGTGTTATATTAGAATATTCGAGAAAGTTTAGGGGAGATCACTCCCGGTTTATTCTGTTACAAAAACTAGCTAGTTAGACAGCTGCTAGAGTTAATAGTTAGACAGCTGCTAGAGTTAATAAAATAAATATCATTGCTTATATGATCATTATATATATATATATATATATATATATATATATATATATATATATATATATATATATATATATATATATATATATATATATATATACATACTTTTTGTTAACCTTCAGACTTGTACAAAAGTATTTTTTAATTTTAATTAGCCTCCGTTACCTTGGCAACCATACAATCAAAAGAGTCCCTGAATCCAGCAATTAATTGCCTCTCTTTAAGTACCCTAACATAGATACAAACAAATAAATAAATAAGGATTAGTTATTAAAAAGGTCTTTTTTTCGTAGCCTGCCCCCTTAAAGAATTACTTAAAATAAACCTGGTCCTTAATAACAAAAATGTGATATTCACAGGTAGCAATGTCTATTTGAACGAGTCTCAAGGTAATTTCACAAGCCCTCAGTATCCGCTAGGTAGCACTGACAACATGCTGTACAACTGGACTATACTAGCTGATATAGATAGTTACATTATTCTTCAGTAAGTTACTTATATGTTACAATACCATATGTTTATAGACATGATGTAACTAAATTCCTATATGTTAGTATTTCTAAGACTATAATCATTTCCGAGTGCGAGTTCCATTGTAATACATTCGTTTTATTACAGAGTTCCAGAATTTCAACTAACGCCTATCTGTCAGTATGGCTATGTACAAGTATTTGACGGACCCACACAATTTTCACCGATGTTTGGGAATTTCTGTTCTTCAGTGCTACCAGGATTAATGGCATCAACGGGAAACTCAATGTTCGTCATGTTAAACACTAGTAACCCCAATACATACACAGGTTTAGTTGGAAGTTATGAGATCAGAGGTGACTATTTTTAAACTATTCGATAACGATTAATTAACACCGCCAGGTTTAATTGCAACGTATTGTACGTAGATTCAAACGATGTGAACGATTACAGTTTTAGGGAACAAAGGTTTCTATTTTATAATGTCTTTGTAAATCAAATAATGTTTTCTTACATAGAACAATTATTTTTTTATTTGTTGTATTAAAATTACACAATTTTTACATTTGTTTTGGGGGTCGCCCATAAATGACGTCACACTCGTAGGGGGAGGGGGTCCGTAATTTTGTGACGGTGTGTGATTAGGGGGAAAGGGGTTCAGATTGAACGACGCCACAATTTTGCATTATAAAAACGCAATGTTAGAAAAGGAATTTTAGACGTTATTTCGCGTATTAGAAAACTGTTTTAATAAATTGTAATAAGAATTGATCAATATACTCTATGTTGACTGTGTTCTGACAAGATTTTAGAAAAATATCGATGTTTTAAAAAAAAATTCAACTGCAATTTTGAGAGGGGTTGTAGGCTGAGGTGTGACGTCATTTTAGAGGGGGGGGGGCGTGGGTTTTTGTGACGACGTGTGACGGAGGGGAGGGGGGGGGGGAGGTAAAAATCGTCCAAAAAGGCGTGACTTCATTTATGGATGATCCCTTGAATTAGTTAATTGATATTTCATTCATAAATAGCTTAAAAATATGCAGAATTTGTAAATAAAAAAGACAGTATGTTTTAAACTAAGATATGTGTGTGGTATTGAAGCTTACATATTATTTTAATACTAACTTTGTATTATCACATAATCATATCTAAAACAGCCAGACAGAGTGCATTGAATGTGACAGGCAAGTTGATAAGTCCCGGATACCCACTACGTTATTTGAATAATGAGGAAATTTCATGGATTCTATCAACACGCGCTGAAACTCGTCTCATATTGAAGTAGGTCATCGAGTCTCTTGCGCTACATTAAATTGTTAAAAAAAAATAAAAGACAGTAACATTATATTTAATCTCATAAAACATATTTTTTTAGCATAGATTTTGTAGAAACAGAGTCCAGTGGCACAGAATGTATCACCGTGTACGACGGGGCTACTAAGAATGCTAAAAATTCTAAAAAAGTTTGTGTCAGGGGAGGCTCAGCTGTGATTGTATCGACAACAAGCAACTTGTTGATCACTTCTACAATAGCCGGATACTTTACGTACAAAGGATTTTATGCGGAGTTTAACTCAGTTGGTTAGTATATTACAATTTAGAATTGCGTAGTAGACATAAGAAATGCAGGTGTACTATACCTTGAAAGCTAGAAAGAAACTTGCACGAATGCGACGTCTCCAAATCTACTTTCCCACATATATCCATATATATATATATATATATATATATATATATATATATATATATATATATATATATATACAAAAACTACGAACATAGGATATTCATTTTTGGCCTAATCTTATTTTTTTTTAAAAAAACATCTTTGGTTTTTTTTTTAAATAAAAACAATTTCAACAAAATGCCATTTGTGGGAGTACATTAGTCTGTTTTGAAAATCTCAGTTTTATTTTATGTCTGCCTTAATACTTCTTAACCTCAAGTCGGTCAAAAACATATACAGCATAAAAGCTTTGTATGTATGATGGCTTCTCGTGTTATGTTTTTATGTTATTTTTTTTATTTATATTATTAATTTTTACTAAACTTTATTTTTATACTGTATCATTCTTTAGGAAGTATTTTTAAAAAATTGCTTTTTAATGTGTTTAGTTCATATCTATTGAAAGGAGCTTATGAACACCCTTATTTGACTATTTAAAAAAAAAAGAAATAAATCTTGGAGGTGGTTTGAAACTAGTTGGTGAACACTACCACCTAGATAAGCAAGCTTAGTTATTGGGGCGCTAGTTTGTCAACACTACCACAGACACGCCCCGGTTTACGCTGATGGGCGTCGTGGGGCTCTTGGGACGGCCACCAGCGGAGGTGCCTAATGCAGCGAGACTGATGATTCAAGTAGTACACCTATCCCCCATTACAGAAAAAAAGATAATCCAACCGCAGCTACAGTACTATTTTATAAAACAACCATCAAGTCAAAAATGCAAGAACATAAAATGTTTAACTATAAAAAATAGATTATAGTCAGTTGTGGGCCCCCCTTAACGTCGTGACCCGTCCCGGGTAAATTTAACCATCTTGACTTATAGGGACGTTCTTGTTGTGTGAAACTGTGTTTATTTTTTTGTACATTTAATGATTTAGCTTATTTCAACCCCCCCCCCCCATCCCCCATCCCACCCCCAATATATATGCATACAAACTCCACCAAAAATATGAGCATTTGTACAACACGCTCTTAAAAAACGTCCTAGATCAGCTCACGCGCGGGCAAAGGTCCTGCATTTTTCCTTTCTGCTAGTATTGACATATCAAAGATAAGCAAAATCGTATTCTACAGAGCACACTTTATGTTAACAATTACCCTAAGATTTTTACTGATATTAAAACCCAAAGTTATAAAAGAGAAATGGCTTAACTGAGCCTGCAAACTCAAACAAAGATTACACTTGTCAATTAATATCGATCTTTATGTTGTTGACGGTCTATACCCAGTAGGAATAACACAAACAGCAGATGTACAGACGCTAAATTAGACAGACCTTGTTGTTATAACTGGGTTCTACATGTGTACCACATTTATGCAGTGAGAGGTTAGAACTACTTGATCCAATATTATATTCCGATACCACTACCATTTCATTATGTCTAGCCATGGAATAGTGTATCTTGAGACACGACGACATCAACGCTTACAAATGATTTGACAGAATGACATTGCTGACTATTTCTATTTATGGCAGTATAAGAAATAGACATCGGAAGACTTGAACAAACGATACTAAGACTGGACAACCTAACCCTAAATTCACACGAACAAGACTAATTGAAGCTTCTTCCCCGGCAACAACGAACTCACACTAAAACGTCACTTTCTTGCGCACCGCGTCACACTTTCACTCGTTTAATATTATAGCTTCGCACCAGCATTCATGCGCAACAATTTGTCAAGTCAAACATACATCATAACACTTGTGATAAAAAAGAAGTAAGCTATAGAGATCTACTTGCGATGAGTTTTAAAAGTGTTTTTATGTAGGTCCTAGTGGTTTCAATAATAAGCCTGTTGTTGTTGTTTTTTTGTTGTGTGTTATGGAACTTGTTTTAAATCTTAATTAATTAATTTCCGAAAAAGGCGCCAACATCCTTATAATGCCCCCCCCCCCCACCCTGCGTACACTTCTGATAACATTAAGTCATTGGATTGATTCCTATATTCAATAACAGAAGAGAAGGTAACTGTGATAACTGGGGACTATGTACCCCGCAGTTATGTAATGAGAGAGTGTCCACGACCATTATATATTCATTCTAACTATTCAGTAGTTCATCTTAGAGTTTCGATTTAAAGCACGACGACACCAATGCATCTAAAAGATTAGACAGGATGACATGATTTAATTTTACTATTTATTGCACTATAAAAATACATAGGACGACTGGAACGAACGATACTAAGACTTGACTATACTACGACCTGCCTCTTAATACAACAAGACGTAAGACTACCTAACCTTCTTCTTCGGTAACAACGATCCTACACTGAAAAGTCACATTTTTGCGTACCGCGTCTCAATTCAATGCGTTCATTATATCTTTCGAACAAGTATTCGATTGTACCAATAAGGCTGATCAAACACACATCATTACAATAACTAGCTTGACGCGATCACAATAACATTCTGGTCAGCTATTTTTCACGATAATTGTTGAGCAGGTGGATCTAGTGAGGACTAGATGGAGGAAACAAGATTAAGAACTATCCTTCGCTTTATCAGCTTCCTATTGGCTGTAGATTTTTGTTATTGACGGCTGATTTTTACGAGCAGATAATCGTCATTTAGATATCGCGAACTGATGGTGCTGTAAAGCAGATAGTTTTAGTTGTGTCGATTTCATAAAAAGCGTGAGTGATCTACCCTGAACTTTCTTGAATTTTGACATTTCGGGATATAGATATGTTTGTCATTAAAAATTGATTAAAAATCATTTCTATACCCCAGAGTTGCCATCCCAAGTAAGGTTATATAAGTATATTCGAGAAAGATACCTGGATATCACTACCGCTATATTTTCTCCGGGACGGGAGGAGGGGGTGGGGAGGCTGACACTGCTAAAACTATATAGTTTACATATAATTATATTTCGTTCGGGGTAAGGAGTGGGACGTGGTAGACGTTCTTCAGGGGGGGGGGGGGGGTTGTCTTTGCGCGCCGCCCCTACCCAACGAGATGCCGGAAAGAAACTTTGCATGCGCATAACATTATAAATTAATTAGGCGGTAATACAAGTGTCTTTATTGTCAAGTACCGATGTCATCATTATTATTGTGTTTTGTCTTGTGTCATTAGATTTATTTCTCTAGAATCAATCATGTAGGTTTTGTGTAGGTTTGGGAAGTTTCGTTTTCTTTGATTGTGAAACTTTTTATTTTCCAGGATTTCTCTAGAGCGTTTCAGACGGACAGACAGAATAGTTAAACTATTATAGTTACGAGAAAAATGGCCCGTTGAGGAAGGATACAAAGGGCGCTAGGTTGATAGTGCTGTCTATTTTCTCTAAACTAAAACCAAAACCAAAATCACCACTTTAATTCAGTTTAACCGGAAACGAAAAATGACATTGAAAACGGATTTTTATCCAGAATCGGTACTTTAATTTATACAAAATATAGTCATAGGCATATCCCTGAACCATGCACCTAATCTCATTCATGACAAAAGTCGCATTTAGAGTTTCTTTCAGGCAACTCTACTTGGGAGGAGGTTGGGCTCCGCCCCCCCCCCCCCACACACACACCCCAAAACATGTCTACCGTCCCATTCAACGAAATATAGCTATATACTTTTTCCAGTGTCCGCCCCCTCCCAGAAAATTCTACCCCCGCCCCCCCCCCCCCCCCCCCAAAAAAAAATTCAAGTACCCCCACCCTCACCGGGCAGGAAAAAGTCTGAAAGAAACACTGGTCGCATTTGTTGATCATACAAACTAAAAGAAGAACCTGGGCGGGGAAGAGATGCATGATAAAAAAATGTGCACGCTAAACTTTTTAGATTAGAAAAAGTTTCCCCCTCCGGGGAGGAAAAAGTCTGAAAGAAACACTGGTGTCAAGCTTAGCCACTACCCGAAGAATTGCACGAAAGAAACTGCAAGCAAACCACTTTTTAGATTAGACAAATTAATTAGGCGGTAATTTTTATTATAGAGTATCGATGAAGAAATTTCTTTTGAGTTGGGGTGGGGGGGGGGGCGGCTTAGACGTTGTTTTTCGAGGGTGGGGCTTCGCCCCTACCCGAAGAATTATATGAAAGAAACTCTTCACGCAAACCACATAGATTAGACAAAATTGGCTTTATAATTCAATGTTTACTCGAGAATCAATGACGTCATATTACTGTGTGCACTCTCCGGCTTGATATTATTTTCTACTACATGCTGAATATTATGCCGTCATATTTCGCTGCCGCTTTACTGTGAAAGTTTTTAATTTGCTTGTGTTTTCTCTAGAGCGTTCTTGTCAGACAGATAGATAGATAGATATATACATAGATGCACAGACAGCGAACCTATTATTATAGATACAAGATAAATGGTCCCTTGATGGAGAAATCTAACAGGCTCTAGGTTGATAGTGTTGTCTTTTTTTCAAAACCGAAACCAAAACCAAAATCACCACTTCAAAATAAAATTTAACCTGGAACGAAATATTACATTGTTATACTCTATTGTTGTTTAGACAACTAGATGTTATTGTGAGTTCGTCTTTCTTCAAAGAAAGACGATAAACTGTTGTTTCATTTCACAAGTTTATTTACAATAGTAAAATCCACAAAGAATACAGCTCATTCAGTAATCAAACATCCACCTTTCGATAAAATCACAGGAATAATACTTAATACATTTCAAGTTCTAACACTCAAAACACATAGTTTCTCCTTGCATTCATCTTGGTAGTCCTCTCGAACATCTCATTTACCCCGATTATATAGCCTTACATACATTCCCTTCAACCAGTGAGCGATCTCCAAAAAAGCATGCATAATACAGTGAGTGATCGCTCATGCATTCACTTCTGTTGACCAGATATTCAACTATCACATACGTTTTACTCCAAATATATCTTTATAAATATATAAATTTATCCAGAATGGGTAATGTAACTGGATCCGGAATTTTTAATGGATTGATACCGAACTTTAGGCAGAAATTTAACAGGATACGAAATTTCATTGAAAACGGAACTTTATCCAGAAACGGTACTTTAATCACTGGCGCCTAGACATGGTGCTATTTTACGCCTCGGGTTCTCGTGAGCGTTGTGGCGTCTACGTTCGTTTTAAAGAGCAGAAAAACTGTGGATAAGATGGGGTATTTTGTCTCCTATTTAATTGAATCAATCGCGTCCCCCCTGACTTTACTGTGAGCATTTTACGTTTACGTTTACTTTTGTGTTTACGTTCGCATTTTGGTTTTTATTATTTTCTGCGTTAATATTTGCAATTGTGTTTAACTTTGTCTTATTGTATTCCTTTATATATTCGTTTAAGTTGTTTGCTTTTATGAACGCTATAATGTTTGAGTCCATGTTTGCGCTGAATGTTGTGTTTATGTTTGCTAATATTTTTTTCACTATTTTCTGCGTTGTTGTTTGCATTTGCATTTGCTTTTAGGTTTACGTTTGCGCTTTGTTTAGCGTTTATGTTTCAGTTTAAGTTGGCGTTTTTGTTTAAAATATTTTTATATTTAGCAATGACGTCATAAATGCAGGACACCTATTGTTTTTTTTTAATACTACATAAATCGTTTGTTCTTGTGCGATATGAAAATGGTATCTATTTTACTGTTTACATAACTTATTCCTGTATCATTATGTAACATTATCCCTTAAAAATCCATTAAATGACACAAATCATTAAAGTTATTCGAATATTAACTGACAAAAGTGAATTGTTTCAACTACAGATGATAGCCATATCTCTATGAACGAGTCTCAAGGTAACATCTCTAGCCCTGGGTATCCATTTGGCTACCTTGATAACATGGTATACACATGGACTATACAAGGCAAAGCTGATAGTTATATCCTAATTAAGTAAGATGCTTTTGTTTAAAGTGTTATCTTACTGATATTTTAAATAAAGTCACAAGTGTCACTATGTGTCAATTACTAAGTAATTGTCATTTAGAACATAAGTACCTCCAGACTATTTACTAGATAAACTTATATTACTTTATTACTGTTAAAGTATTCCAGATTTCGAGGTAGGGGATAAATGTCAGTACGACTATCTAAAAATATATGATGGACCCACAACATTTTCGCCGTTGTTTGGGAGTTTCTGCTCATCACTACAACCGGGATTGATGGCTTCCACGGGAAACTCCATGTTCATAATGTTAAAAGCTAGTGGCAACTATAAATACAAAGGCTTCTATGGAAACTATGAGATTAGAGGTGAATGTTTGTGTACAGTGTCACAAAATCAGGTAACGATTAATTCTATGGAAAAATATAAACAATAAAATTGTAAAACTTTAGTCTCTTTCTCCCTTTATATATATATATATATATATATATATATATATATATATATATATATATATATATATATGTATATATATATATATATATATATATATATATATATATATATATATATATGTGTGTGTATATCACCACTAAAGCTAGACAAAAACATTCTCCCCTTCTCGCACTTCTACGTCTAAAACACAACCACATAAACATAAATGCAAATATCAACACAAATATAAAACCTAACCCTCACCACAGCCTAAACCATGAACATATAACATTTCCCTTCCCTGCACTTCTACTCGCAAATCAAGAAGCAAGTACATTAAAATATAAACACAAATTCCAACTTGAACACAAACTTAAGTATAAAATCTATCTCTCACTACAACCTCAAAACATAAGCATCAACCCAAAAAAATATATTCATAAATATAAATATAAATCAACACTCACCACAACCTCTGCCACAAACATTAACAAAAATCCCTACACATAAAAATTCAACTACACCCACACTTACACATATCCCTATACATATAGCTACATCTCAAAGTTTACCTTAACTAATCCTAACATATGCTTGAGCTATCCCCACCTGAATCTTTGTCTCAAAATGGCGGGTGAGTAATTGATTGGGTGTGATGTCCTATTATAACTGTTTGGGAGGGGTTGTTTACTGCGGGGGGGGGGTTAGATAATGGGTTTGGGGTGCGAAGTGATTCATAGTTATGAACAGGTTGTTAATGTCAACATTCCGACACTTTTTAATTCCATTTTTGCTAGACACACATCCACAGAAAATTGACCGTGTCACTTTCAAAACTATAATGAAATATAAATATTGAAAATGTATAATGTCGTTATATCTTATGCCCCGTTTTAATTTCAGAATGTTAAATAAATACTAAATAGGAAAATGCATGAGTATATAAATAGGAAACTAAAAACCACCGGCGTTGAACGAGTATATAATATTTAAATTATAAAGCCCTAAAGTCGGTGGAAGTAAGATCGCCTTGATGGCCTATACAAATAGTTCAAAAATTCAAAAAATTGAAAACAATCTGAAATTTCACAGAATTTAGCCAGAAAGTGCGCTCTGACGTTTCCAGTGCTATAATGCACCATTGTTATAAAAATGAACTCGATCCGTTCAGGCTTTTGGATTTTCATAAAAGACAAATCCAGGGCAATTCCCCCCGTCAGGTATACATGGAAAAATACTCCCCCCCCACCCTAACAGAGCAATTACCCGCTGTCAATTACTCCCCACTCAGTAGGACATTCCCCCCCCCCTCGGGAGAGGGGGGAGGGAAAATGTCGTGTGGGAAATGTCCGAGCGTATTTGACGGCGGGGGACATGGGTTTATATTCTAGACTCCTTTTATAAAGCCTACATATTTAAGTGCTTTTTTAATTTATAAACTTAAAAGCAATGTATTAGAAAGAAGTGAAAAGTAATTAAGTCAGAACAAACATTTCAAAACATATGTCCAAATAATACAACATGCGAAGCAAAAAAAAATACAATTCTATTTTAGCTATAATGTATTAATGTAAAAAGATAGCTATTGGTCAGTGTAACGTCTGGCTAGTCCAAAAATGTTTAGTTTTACAGCCATAGTTGTCAACTTTAATCTCAAAAGGAAATAGGAAATTCGAGGAGGTAATGTGGTAAAATCTAGGTCTTAACTAGTCTAAACATTAACTTCATAAGTAGGAAAATACATGACAATGAGATGACGCAATGTATAACACAAAGTTTGTTTAATACACTTGTTTTGTAAAAAAACAGAAAGAAGAGTCAGTTACAGAAATATTAGTTCACGTCTATAAAATTTAAAATATGCTTGATAAACAATCCTAAAATATAAAAGACCATGTGCACACTTTTATCTCTCTCTGTCCGCAAATAGTTCCCGAGGCTTTAAGATCAGTATTTAATAAATTGCCTTGAGGTTTTTAAATTAAAAAAAAACACTCAACTATGAATGGGACGGAGTGGTCTAGCGGTAGAGAGCTGGACTGCTAACCCGTAAGTCTCGAGTTCGAATCTGGGTTCTAGTCAGAAGGCCCCCCTGAGTCCACCAAACTCTGATGGGTACCTAACTCACGTTAGGGAAAGTAAAGGCGGCTGGGCATAGTGCTGACCACACTATCTCTTCATGTGCCGAGGTCACAGAAACAATTAGTGAACTCTACTTCACTTACCCTATAGACCGTCAGGTTTGAAAAGGAAAGTTACTTACTTACTTACTCAACTATGTAAGCACTATTAATGGGGTCTAGGACATTAACCCCCTCCTGTCAATTACCCCGAAATTTACCAAATGATATTATCCCCCCCCCCCCCACTGAACATTTACCACATTTCAATAAACTCACAATCATTTAACCTAACTCTAACCTGAACTCTAAACCGTTTAAACCCTAACCAAACCGTAGCCATAATGAAGAAATTAGCTACTTAATTAAATTTGATTTAGATCTATAGATCTACTTATCAAGACGTACGCTATGTAAGTTATACAATTTTCTCAGCCAAAACTAATAAAATTACTTTTAAAATAAACCTGGAGTGATCTCAAATAAACTTTCTCGAATATTCTACGGGTTTGGCAACTCGGGATATTGACAATATATTTACTCCATTTTTAATTACTTAAACTTTTTATTATAGAATATCGTAGGAAAAAGATTGCACACCAAGTGAACGCCAAACAAAATGTTCATAATAGTGAGGGATATAATTAGTACTTTATAATTCCGATGTGTTTTTTTTTAATCGGAAATAGCGTAAATTACTACTTTCTGTCAAATGCATTTACTCAAAATTTTCAAAATATTTTACTTATATGTAAAATTTTGTTTATCTTTCTGAAATAGTACTCATGTTGTAGGCTTTTGAATAATTTTAAGTAGAAAAAGCTCCACTTCCACTTACCGGAAGTCGCTGAAAAGTTGATACGGATCTACACATTTGATATAATACTTATATATGAAACTTCATCAACCTAGCTGTAACGGCTAACATGTTTACACATACCCATACCAATACCCATACCCATACCCATACCCATACACATACCCATACCAATACCCATACCCATACCCATACCCATACCCATACCCATACCCATACCCATACCCATACCCATACCCATACCCATACCCATACCCATACCCATACCCATACCCATACCCATACCCGTACCCGTACCCGTACCCGTACCCGTACCCATACCCATACCCATACCCATACCCATACCCATACCCATACACATACACATACACATACACATACACATACACATACACATACACATACACATACACATACACATACACATACACATACACATACACATACACATACACATACACATACACATACACATACACATACACATACACATACACATACACATACACATACACATACACATACACATACACATACACATACACATACACATACACATACACATACACATACACATACACATACACATACACATACACATACACATACACATACACATACACATACACATACACATACACATACACATACACATACACATACACATACACATACACATACACATACACATACACATACACATACACATACACATACACATACACATACACATACACATACACATACACATACACATACACATACACATACACATACACATACACATACACATACACATACACATACACATACACATACACATACACATACACATACACAAATAATATTAAGGGGATCGTTCGTCAATTTATTTATATATATATCTCATATAAGGAGAATTTCATTCGCGGTCATCTTTTAGCCCTGGTCGAGGGCTTTGAGTCTGACCAACAGTTTTTCTATACGGCCTACTCATCTATAGAAGCGTATGCAAAACATTAGCATGATGTACAGAGGTTAAGAAACCTAAAAAATTAAGAAACCCATAAAATAAAAAGATTACATAGGGAAATACGACTGGTCAGTTTTGACCCATTTCCAGATTTTTGCCGGACATCGCGAGTTTTTTGTGACACACCTAGGTGTCTCCTACCACCTCACAAAATATCAAGGGGGTCGTTAGGCAAGAAATGTTTTCTTTATATAGCTCAAATAAGGAGATTTTCACTCGTGGTCATGTTTTAGCCCTCGTCTCGGGCTTTGAGTCAAACCGACAGTTTTTCCTACAGGTCAAGCCATTTACCTAGGAGCATGCACAAAAATTTGTATCACAAAATTTCAAGGGGGAGGTAGTCGGAGGAATTTTTTTTTTCGTAATAGAGCTCATATAAAGATAATTTCACTCGCGGTCACTTTTTAGACCTCGTCGAGGGCTTTGAGTGAAACCGACAAATTTGCCCTATGGCCAAGCCATTTACCTATAAGCATGACAAGCATTAGTCAGAAGTACAGAGGGTAGGTGCCCTAAAATCCGCTTTGAAATTACCCTCTGTTTTTCCAATATAATACAAAGATTATATAGTGAAATACGACTGGTCAGTGTTTGACCCATTTCCTAATTTTTCCCGGACATGGCGAGTTTTTTGTGACACCCCAAGGTGGTCTCTTACCACCTCACAAAATTTCAATGGGGGTCGTCGGAGGAAAAAATTTTTCGTAATAGAGCTCATATAAAGATAATTTCACTCGTGGTCACTTTTTAGCCCTTGTCGAGGGCTTTGAGTGAAACCGACAGGTTTGCCCTACGGCCAAGCCATTTACCTATAAGCATGTCAAACATTAGCCAGATGTAAAGAGGGTAAGTGCCCTAAAATCCGTTTTCAAATTATCCTCTGTTTTTCCCATAAAATACAAAGATTATATAGGGAAATACGACTGGTCAGTTTTGACCCATTTCACGATTTTTCCCGGACATGGCGAGTTTTTTGTGACACCCCAAGGCGTTCTCCTACCACCTCACAAAATTTCAAGGGGGAGGTAGTCGGAGGATTTTTTTTTTTTCGTAATAGAGCTCATATAAAGATAATTTCACTCGCGGTCACTTTTTAGACCTCGTCGAGGGCTTTGAGTGAAACCGACAAATTTGCCCTATGGCCAAGCCATTTACCTATAAGCATGACAAACATTAGTCAGAAGTACAGAGGGTAGGTGCCCTAAAATCCGCTTTGAAATTACCCTCTGTTTTTCCAATATAATACAAAGATTATATAGTGAAATACGACTGGTCAGTGTTTGACCCATTTCCTAATTTTTCCCGGACATGGCGAGTTTTTTGTGACACCCCAAGGTGATCTCTTACCACCTCACAAAATTTCAATGGGGGTCGTCGGAGGAAAAAAAATTTCGTAATAGAGCTCATATAAAGATAATTTCACTCGCCGTCACTTTTTAGCCCTTATCGAGGGCTTTGAGTAAAACCGACAGGTTTGCCCTACGGCCAAGCCATTTACCTATAAGCATGTCAAACATTAGCCAGGTGTAAAGAGGGTAAGTGCCCTAAAATCCGTTTTCAAAGTATCCTCTGTTTTTCCCATAAAATACAAAGATTATATAGGGAAATACGACTGGTCAGTTTTGACCCATTTCACGATTTTTCCCGGACATGGCGAGTTTTTTGTGACACCCCAAGGCGTTCTCCTACCACCTCACAAAATTTCAAGGGGGGAGGTCGTCGTCGGATTTTTTTTTTCGTAATATAGCCCATGTAAGGCGCCGGTCAGTCAAGGTCAGTTTTGACCCCCTCTCCCTTGACTTTTCGGCAAACCGTCACTAGCCCTCGTGTTCTATCGCCGCAAGGCACAATCGTGCCAAATTTGACGTGCCTGCGGCGCCGGGAAGTGCCTTATCCGGCACCTCACCACTTTGCTTTTGTGTATATATAATGTTATTTTCAATCAGTACAAATATAGGAAATTTCATTTTTAATCATTTTATTACACTTTTCTTATTATTTTAAACAGAAAGACACTGTACACTTTATGAGTCTGGCAAGTTGGCAAGTCCTGGATATCCCATACAATATTTGAATAATCAAAATTTTTTATGGACGCTATCAACTCGTGTTAAAACACAAATAATTCTAAAGTAAGTATTTATAACCCTTTCATTACAGAAGCTTGGTACCAATAGGTCATTGACATTGCAAAAAAAAAAAAACTTAATCTCTAATAATATTTTTCTCTTGCAGCATATCTTTTGTGGAAACAGAGTCTTGTGACACAGACTATATCACTGTGTATGACGGAGATTCACAGACTGCTGGAAGTTCTAAAAACATTTGTGGCAGGGGAGTATCAGTCATAACTGTCTCAACAACAAACACCTTGTTGGTCACTTTTAAGACAGATAGCTACGGAACATACAGAGGATTTTATGGGGAATTTTATACACTAGGTAAAATATATAATATTAAATATATAATTATAATGCACTTTTGTAAAATTGAATGATAAATGTATGCATAAGAAAAATGTCAGAGGTTGTTTGCTTGACGTGATTTTTACCGAAAGCCACTTACAAGAACTCTGCCTGAGATAAAGTTTGCCATAAAACGTATCAAGATTTAAAATCATGTAGTTTCTACAATCTTTACTTGCTCAAAAACGTCCATTTGTTGATTAGTGGCAAATAGTGTAACTAAATGTTGACCAACTAATGAAATGATTTCATTCAAACTTTTCAGATACAATCCGATTTGATGACAACTCTATATATATGTTTTTAATGTATGAAGATTATGAATTAGTAGTTAAATATTTCGAATCTAATTGGAGATTACAAGATTGAATTTTAGAGGTCGCTCAGAAGATTCGTATATTCAATAACAGAACGGGAGATAACTGGCTATACGTGATCAAACTATATAGTCTGCTGAGCCGTGGTTCATGGCGAATATTTATAATCGTAGATCCGATTCAAGTTAAAAGGGCTATGAGTTATATGTATATATATACATAAACATGTGTTTTTTCTATGTAGTCTAATACTAGACTTAGGTTTAGTCAGTAAAATAGGTAAAGTATTGTTATTATATTTCCCCGCCACTTCCTTATATATATATATATATATATATATATATATATATATATATATATATATATATATATATATATATATATATGCCCCCTTTATGTATGTATATATGTGACTGCTATTATTTTTGCATTCTTTTTTGGAGGTTTTTCACTCACAGCACTACAAGATGTTGTTTTAATAGCTGGTGTTACTACTGCAACTGTGTTACTTTCAGCCGCTTTATTAATAATTTATATTGCTTTTAGGCGCAGAGGTAGGCTTACATTTGTTGAGTAAATTTAATTTAATTTATTAATTTAAAATGCTATTGCAAATGTAAAAAAATCAAAATTAAACATGCCTCTATAGACCTACGATCCATTGGGCAGTTGAAGTGGAGTTCATGTGTTTCTTGACCTCGGCATATAAAGGGATGCTATGGTCAGCACTATTTCCCTAACATGGAATAGGTACTCATTAAAGTTTGGTGGACTCAGGGACTTTCCAATAACTTAAACCCGGAATCGAACTCGAAACTCTCGGGTTAGCAGTCTAGCGCTCCACCGCCATGCCACGCGTCTTTATTCCAAATGTATATTAGCCACACACACACACACACACATATATATATATATATATATATATATATATATATATATATATATATATATATATATATATATATATATATATATATATATATATATATATATATAAATGATATTTAATCGTGTATTAAGACTTATTTTTTTGTCTTTTTACAGAGCATAATAGGTATGTACATCTTTTCCTTACAAAATTTATTGAAAAATCGACAGATCTGAATAAATAACTACAAATTTCGAATGTTATTAAATTCATTTTAAAAAATTGCTATCTGATTTTTTATTCCCAGATTTTTTCAGTAACCAATAAAACTGTGTTATTGTGTGAAACGTTCAAAATCTGTTGATATAAATAACGTAGCTTACAGCAAAATAAACCTTATACAGAAAATAAAGACTATTATATTAACCAGTATAGATAAGAGTAAACGATGAAATTCATATTTTAATTCTGACAAAATACAACTTCCTAATAAAATCAGTTGGGTCTAGTTCAGGCGTTTTAGGCATTGTAAAAAAAGGATATTTTTGACGACTTAATATAAATTTGGCCTTATGTAATAAGCGCTTGGTTTATTTACATGTTTTTGTCATACCAAACAGAAACTGCAAAGTATTAAACATTTGTTTTGTATTTAATATGATTTTTTTCTGCACTCGTAGATGCCTTATAATAGTAACAATCTTAGCATTTGTAAGTAATAGCTTCCTTGGGTTCACGAATCTAATCTCTATTTTCAATCTCGTTTTATAACTTAATAATCTTGTCTAGAAAATTGGACATTATTCTTTTACACATCTGACCGCGAGCACATTTTACATACGCCGTTATTTAAATTTCTAATCTTAAAATGTTGTTATTTTGAATTTGTTACGGGAAAAAAAATTAGATAAACTTTATCGTCTTAGGGTTTAACATAAACTAATGGTGTAGGTCTACTATGATTTGGGAGCACGATGGAGATATAATTGTTTTTGAACTTATGTTTCGATTTCTTGAAATGTTTAAAGGTAAACGTGAAATACTGTGAGTTGTTTTAGAAAATTGCCGAGGCCAAGGTCGTCCTACCCTAGTATAAATTTGCATCTGATACGTTTATTCAACCGGTTGAGCTGGTGATTTTTTAACACGAGAACTGACGATTTAATTCATGCATTTTACATGCAGTATTATAATGTTCATATGCCGAGGTCACAGAAACAAGTGAACTCTACTTCACTTGCCACATAGACCATCAGGTTTGAAAGGGAAACTTTACCTTTATTATAATGTTAAATTCAACATGTGGACGTCCACGGTTTATCATTACGGCCCAGCCATTTACAGAAGTGCATGCAAAAATTTAGCCAGATGTAGAGAGGATAACTACCCTAAAATCTTTGTTGAAATTACACACTGTTTTTCACATGAAATACAGAAACATATAGGGAAATATTACTGATCAGTTTTAACCAATTTCAAGATTATTCCCGCACATAACGAGTTTTTTCTGAGACCCATTTTCGTTGACCTGTTGGCCAACCGGCACCGAACCCGTGTTCTATAGGGCTGGTAAGTAAGTCACCAACCAGTTCTATGGCTAATGCAGGTTTTATTGAACCGTAGAACTGGTTGGTGACCTATTGCTCCAAGGCAGATGCCTGCCAAATATGAAGCGCCTTCGGCACCTGGAAGTGCCCGATCAGGCACCCGAACATTTTACTTTATATATATATATATATATATATATATATAGATGTCCACCATATTTTTAGTAATTATTTTTTCATGCTAAAATGAAATTGTGATGTAAATTGTGATGGTAAATCATAAGCAAATTTTGTAACTTATGCATACTGAAAAGGTACGATTTTTTAGACTTTGTATAATGCTGACCAGTAACTCTTTTAAAAAAATTGTCATCACAAAAGTTTTAATATATACTGAAATATAAGCCATTTGAATTTGATTGCTATAAGTGCAAAAATAAAAAAGTACCGAAAAATTCAAAATGGCGGAGGTTCTTTCGGGTTTCCATGACAACAATTTTCTAACGTAATAATGTGGCTGTCTTTTATGGGTTACTACACGTTTCTTATAACGTTGTTGCGAAAAACCCCGAGGCTGTTGCCCCCAAAAAACATTATGAAGGTGCGGCGCCGTGGCACGGTATTGTACCACTTTCCTTGTTTTGAAAGAAATTCAATGAACTTTTTTTACTCCAACACTTTTATTATATAAATTTCTATTAATTCAAAATGTAGTTGTATTCTGAGCTGTTTGTGGGTAGTGTAGATTTCAATAGGGCTGGTAAGTAGGTCACCAACCAGTTCTACGTCTCAATAAAACTTAGATGAGTCATAGAACTGGTTGGTAAACTACTTACCAGCCCTATTATGTCAACTACCAATTCATAAAATTACATCTGTAATATAATCGGGCAAGTAGTGTGTCAGTCCTTCCTTCCTTCCTTCCTTCCGTCATCTCTATAGATTTTGAAACCATAAAAGTAAACATCGCACCATGTAGTGCTTTGCAGTGCATCGCATTGTCTTATTATAAGTATTAGAGTAGGGTTTGTTTATATAACGACATAGAGCTATTTTATAATTTCCACTGTGTTTACTCTTTTGCATAACTTAAAGAAAATATTAAATTAGGCTGTTGCTCGTATTTTTTAAACTCCACTAATTTCAAGTAAAATTATACCACAATAAAAGAGGATTTTTTTCCCTACACATTGATACCAATTTTGTGTCTCTAGCTTAATTAGGAGCTAAGATATGGCCTTTTAAAAATTTGTGGGCGTGGCTAAAACAGCTTAGACCTTCGTCATTCAAGTCAATGTTACATAAGCAAAAAAGTTGGCACCGATGGTTTTTTCATTGCATCATCACGGATTCGCATTTTTCGAAAAATTAAAAAATTATAATTTTATTGCATCATCCGGGATTCGCATTTTTTTAAAACTAAAAAATTATAATCAAGCTTAAAGTCTAAGTTATACTGGACTGGATGTGATTTGAATGAGTAATTTAATGCCATTCATATATTATTATTGACTTATTACTCCGTGTAAAAAAAAATAATGTAGATCTAGGTTTAAAATAAACTAAATCTAGTTATTGTAAATCGATTTATTAATATTTAATACTGTTACTACTATTATTATATAATAGAAATGCATAAGCACATATTACTGCACAAGTTCTTTATATCTAATTGTAATGAACGATATTACTTGGGTAGATGAAGTAGAGTAGACCTACATACACACACACTACATGATAAATGGAAGTTGCCTTTACGTTACTTTCTCAGCCCCCCTTCCCCCCCCCCCCCCACTTACTTGATATTCAGTGTCTATATCAGGAGGCCATAATAAAATTATAGAACAAAATAAAAGAAAACAGCTGTCAAAGTGTGTACCAGTGTTTATTACTACTGAACTATGCAATGTAAATTATTAGAATGTGAGAAACACAGTATTAAAATACAGACAGTAATCAGATTACCACATGAATTTTAATTTTGTCTAATAAAATAGAAACATTTAGGAGAATGGCAAAGTAAAAAAAAAGATTTTTTGCAATAATTTAAAAATATGTTTATCAGAGCAAAGAAATAAACTACATAGTGACAACCTAAATTTAGCCCTTGTATAATCTACGACCATCACAGTACTGTAAAACAGTTACATAATCGTTATTAGTGTGAAGAAACAAATCTACAGTACAAGAAATGAGCCTCGTCTCATTACGATCCCTCTTAAGAAGAAAAGTAGTATAGTATTAATTATCCAGGAATAAACATTAAAATATTGGTTTAAAGTATAATTACTAGTAAATCTAACCATTCATTGAATGTATGCTGGAAAAAAAATAGGTGTCGAAAAACTTCTTGGACCACTTTAGTCTCTTTAGTGTTAAAACAATTTTCTAAAGTATCAATTATAATTAATCTTTAGATACAATTAGCACATCTGAGGAAAAAATATATATATTTTAAAAAGCGTTAGTACTTGTGTGATAAATTAGTTTGGACCAACATTTTTGAAGCACATTAACTACTGATTCTAGGATTATCTAGCTGTTGTCAATTACCCTGAAAAATTAGTTAAGTAATTAATTAAAATGTAATTTTTTTTACACTATGAAAACTAAACTTAATTATAAACATCGTTAGTATTAGTTTTCAAAATAAGTTTACAATTCAGAGCAATCATTTTTTCAGTAACAATTTACAAAAACACTAATGCTTAAAAAATAAAGCTCATTTGTATACTAAAAATGAAAGAAGTACTCTGAAATTCTGATAAGCTATTATTCAGAAAGAAAAACAAGATTCCTACAAAGTCTACAACCAGTGATTCTGCCAGATAACTGAAATCCTCAGAATTATCCTCATCCTCTGCCCAGTAGCTTATGGTGTAAAGAGCTGACTTTTGTTTTGTTTCTGGCACCCTTTTGATAGTCCTTCCACTGTATTGCGACACACCCTGATCACCTTGCTTCCACTTATGAGTCAGCTGGACACCAATCAGATTTCCCGTCAGATACCTCTCCAGCTGTCGCACCAAGAAAGGCTCAGTAGAAGTCAACTGTCAACAACGCTTCCATGACTTTAAGAAACAGAGTAGATCTACATTTGATTGCCACATTGCATTCTTGTAAATGATCTTTATCAAAGGGCCAGAAATTAACTTCTTAATCAGCCTGAGTGCTTGCGGCGCTGCACGAGAACCCCAGGCTTCTTGAGATCTGCAAGCAGTTGAATGTAGACTTAAGTTATGTCCCAGCAGCCACATCATTCTCTTTAAGATGAGCCTTGAATAAAGCTGGATCTCCATGGAAAATGTACCTGAAAAGAGAAGGGCGAATGGAATTAGAATTTAGGAGACCATTTCACAAAATATATACCTAGCACAACATATTGCAAAGTACATAAAATAAATTTAAAAATTTGAAATAAATTCAGTCTCCATACTTACTGAATGTACTTCCACCTGAGACATTTGTTGAACATAGAAAGGGCTGTACACAAGTTCCACCAACCTATTCCACTCACAAGCCTCTGTTCTCCTCAGCCGCTTTATGTCAGCCATCAAGTTTATGATTGCATTAGCGATCCCCTTTACACCAAGTTGTAGGCACACAAGTCTAGAATTAAATTAATATTAATAAAATTATCAAGTACTAAAATTGTCCTTAATAAAGAGGTCTAAGGGCATAGGGCTTTATAAAATTATATTATTGTATAGGACTAGTTATAGATATATACAATACATAGGCCTATATTAATTTAAATATATTTATAGGCCTACTTGATGGAGAATTATACCTGAACTAGTCTAAATCTATTCTTAACCATTTAACAATGTTTCACTATGTGACTAATTTTACAAGATCTAGATCTAGACTAGTATGAAATAGAATATTTTCGGCAAAAATAAAAAAATAATAAAAACATTACTGTAACTGAAAACGTGTAAAAATATAACTAAAAAATTAATGTAGTCCTAATCAAACATAATGATTAAATGATTGTGTTCATCTAAATGTACTGAATTAAAATAAATAGGCTAATTACTGAAATGGTATAGGCCTAGGACAGGACTAGTTAATACTTAATGCAGAATTAGCTGAACACTTAGGCCTATACCTAATTAATTTAACTTATCTAGATTCTAGATCTAGAATCTAATCTATATCTAAATGAACTAGCACCTATTTCTTACTAGAATCTAGATCAGTGTTGGCCCTATTAGTATTATGATCTAGATTCAATTAGATCTAAATCTAGATCTAGAATTAAACTAGAGTCCAGAACTAGCTAGGCCTAAAGCTAGATTCAGTAGATTATTTTTTACTAGATCTAGATCTATCTAGATCTAGTAGTATATAGTCTGATCTAGATCTAGTTACTATAGATCAATAGAGCTAGATCTAGTAATCTGGATTTGTTTTTCTAAATCCAAAATCTATTAGGCTATCTTTAATCTTAATATCATCTAGATCTAGGCCTATTTACTGAGTCTAGATCTAGTTCTAGAAATCTAGATCAAAATTTAAGTCTACTTTGTAAAAATCTAAAAATTAAATTAATGTAGAGTCTAGACCTAATTGTCCTAAGTCTAAGTAATCAACCGTAATAACTTTGTAAATGTAGGCTACTTAATCTAAATTATTAATATTTGGCCTAGTAATAGTAATATATCATAGATATCGGAGAGCCGTTATCAAGTAATGCGATATTTTAATAATGTAAGAATCACAGGAAATTTGGCGCGAAATTAAGGCTCTCTCGCGGACAGCCTTCCTAGGCTTGCGGACCATTGAAATCGTAATTTTAAAATATAGGTTAATTTTACAAGACCCAATTATTATTCTCATCAACATTTAGGCATCTCTTTCTAAATATTAAGTACTTTATTATTTATAGAATCTTACCTTATATTTCAGCACATTGCTCCTCTGTAAGATAATAAACGAGATCCAAAAATTAAAATAGGCTTGGAATCTAAATCCTCTTGAGGTTAAAACAAAGATGCGCACTGTGTCATGCGTAGATCAGGTGTGCTGTGGTTGAGCCTTATGCGACATGGCCTTAATTAGCAATGGTCAACCGGAAACATGGAATTTAGGTTCAAGGTACAGCCATGATTACCATGGCAACAAAGGTCACGGCGCAAGCTGCGCAACTCGCTAATTAAATATAATCACACACGGCTAAAACATATTAAAAGTATCAATGTCAAATATCATTTTCGTTTATATTCCCAGAAAAAAAATGGATACATTTCAATAACATAATAACAGTACGGTAGAAAAATCAAATTAATATAACTCTTTTTTTCTAATTTTGACAAAAGAGGTAATTTAAAAATACATTAAACTCACGCTAATAAAAAATGTGAATGCAAATATACGGTCGTCAAAGAAGGAATTAGTGTTGCAATAATATAATTAGCAAAATGTGAATGCAAATTATCCTGATGTGAAAGAGTAAATTATTGTTAGAAAATTATAATTAGCATGGATTGATAAAAGGCAATCTTTTATTTATTTTATTCACTGAATGTAGGCCCTACTGTTTATTACTTATAATTACTTATAATTTTGAATCAACTATTCAGCATTATTGTAGACGCGTTATTACGTTCATTAGGTGCGCAATGGTTTTAGTTATGAAACTCTATTGTAAGTTTTTAAAATTTAAAGTACTGGAAAAAAAAATGCGTGAATGGATAAAGTGAAATATTGTAGGTAAAACACGGATATTTTAAATACTGCCTATTATTTATATTGTTTACTAATTATTATTCTATCTTTCGGTTTGCGGATTTGCAGACAAGCTAGGGGTTTTATAGGAGAGGCGTAGCGAGGGGGGGCATATGTCCCCGGGTGCCGACCTTAGGGGGCGCCAAAGTGGGTTGGAAAAAATTGCTCGAGGGGGGGAGTGGAAATCGAAAGTTTTAGGGCGGGGGGACAGGGGTGCAAATCGAAAGTTTGAGGGGATGCAAATCACCGGAAAGGGCGCGATTTGGCGCTACGGGCTAGACTGTGAGCAATATGCCTATATGATTGCATTTAAATTGTGTTTATGTTATGAGTGTTGTGTTTGTTTTTTCGTTTGTGTTTTTTTTGCGTTCGTTTGTGTTGTATTTAGTTTTGTTCTGTTCCCAAGTTGGTACATTTAAAAAAGATTTACCGTGGCGGAGCACGGGAAGCAGCTAGTTCATATATAATGCTGTTACAAAAAATTCTAATTTTGCTTTTGTCATTCTATGTTGCCTTTCATAAATTTAGATTTCAAGGTACGGGTCTCATAAAATAAAATAAATACTTTTATTTTTGTTTTTCTCTACAGAAATGTATTAACCGCCGAGACAACATATAGTATGTATACTTTGTTTTCGTTACGTATATATCGATCAAAATATAAATTATTATGCCTTTAAAAAATAATACTTCACTAGCTAATATTTTCAACAAAATATCAAAACACTTCTTATAGAACATGCTTTTACATTATCTTGAACAAAGCAATTTATTTCAACGAGTGTTTAAATACATTCTGTAACTAATTGATTCAAGCTAATCAGGATGCATTAATAAAATACATGGTCTATCTATAAAAAAATAATTCAGGGCAAACAGATGAAGTCTACAACACTATCGACGACATAGAGAACTCGATGAATAATGATCCAGAGGAAGAAGGGTGGTGTTATCTTGTAGATAGCAGTGGATGCAATCAGAACATTGATGCTATAGATGGTGATGTAAACGCCCCATGTCTACCACCACGACCAACCGAAAAACAATATATTGAACTAGCACTTGTACCGATCGGAAACAGTGAGAGAATTCTACGTGGAGATGCTACACCAATTGCTAACAAATCAAATGAAAATATTCCTTATGATTCAACCGCGATAGACATTAACTCGGCTGCCATACGAACATCGTGCCTAAATCCAGATAGTACTAAAATTTCTGATGATTCTTTATTTAACAGAAGCTCACGCAGACTAACAGTTTCACGTGAAAACAAATCTACAGATGGAACAAGACATCAAGCCATGCAATTTGAAGAACAGACAAATGTAAAGGTTGTCAACGCTTATTCTGCGACAGATTGCGATGTTTTTAAAGATGAGCACACGTATTTACCATTTGTACAAGATAAAAAATGGGAAGCAGACGTTGGCAAGCATGACTCAGGTGACCTCGATCATGAAAATAAAATGGCACCAACGAAGCATTTAATGGCAAAAATAGATTGGACTGAGCCAGAGAACTGTGACACCACACCCTCTGTGGGTCGCCAAAGAATTGGGAGAGAAAATCTTTTATCAGAACCAAATATGGATCTTTCAAGTGCATCACTCCATAATCGTTACAGTAGACAAGTGGAGAGGATGGAAGACGATAACTACTTAATTCCTATAAATATGGAATACATGGGTGTTTCTTCCCCAGCAAGCACAAGTGAAAGCGATGAAAATCTTGTTATCAAGCCGCAGTCTACTAACGATAGACCTGAAGATGACATCGCTATCAGTTCATCAACCCCAGTCTCATGCAAACTTCCATTAAGTTTTGGTTACCTGGATTTAGACGGATCGCAGGTAAACGTAGACGACATCAATGATCTACGACGTCGTGGCAATAGCGAAAAACTTCAACACACAGATAAGGACGATGGGTACATAACTCCTATAGACATTGACAATGAGTACATAACTCCTATAGACATTGACAATGAGTACATAACTCCTATAGACAATGACAATGAGTACATAACTCCTATAGACAGTGACAATGAGTACATAACTCCTATAGACAATGACAATGAGTACATAACTCCTATAGACATTGATATGGACTGTCAGACTATGGAGCAAGGATACCATGAGTGGGACGGATCAAAAATAGAATCAGAAGAATTTCAGAAAGGGCAAGGAGGGGAAGATAATTATGTGGTATTTGATGGCGCTGCGCAGTAACTTTTCGTGTTTGTAAAGTTATGTTTCATGATTTTAAAATCAATACTTTGTTTTTAATTTTAATTTTAAAATACTCGCTTTACAACTTTACTTTTTTCATTTTAAAATATAAATTTAGCAATTCAGGTAATACCGATAAAGCATTTACTTAGTGTTTTTAATTATTTTTAAATGCTACTATTAACAAAAAAAACAGCAATTAAGGCTAGAAACCACAGAACAAAACAAAAAATATTAAAATTTAACACATTTCAGGGTATTTAAATATTCATATGTTAATAGCTGTTAACCTTTAGACAAAAATAATGTATAGCCGCCATGTCAGAATTATTTCAGCTGTAGCTTTTGGGAAGAAGTATGCATGAAAAAATGTCTATTATAGCGAGAGAGTTCTCCTCTAAGCTATCTCGATTATACTTTCATTACACAACGGAAGATGGCAACTCGGTGTATAGACATGACGCTTAAATCAATTTTTAATTATTTAATTTAAAAAAAAGAATATAATAAATAACAAAAACAATAATCGCACACATAATGAACAGGAAACAATGAGTTTTTAATAATGCGGAACAAGAGCATTTGATATAGAAAAACTTTATTAATTAATTTTCAAAGAGTTTAAGAATCATCTAATTCAGTAACATTTTTGCCATAATACATTGAGTCAAGAGTCTTAACCTACGTGAAAAGTTTAAAATAATTCGATCCAGAAGAAGTATTCGAATTTTTGTTCGCAATTGTCCGGACAATAAAGTTAAAAAAAAAGATGAATAAATTTAAAAATAAATTCACATGCGTATTTATGAGAAATTGGAACTCGACAGAGAACAGAATTTAATCGTTTACTTATATGCTATCAGAAACAGTACTCAAGTTGTAGAATAATTTTCACTTTCGGTTATTGGAACAGTTGATACAGAACTATACATTTGATATAATATTTATATATGAAATTTCGTCAACCTAGCTGAAACGGTACTCGTCTTATTGTGTTTACAAACAGACACACAGACAGACAGGTACAAATACACACACAAACACAGAGAGAGAGAGAGAGTGAGAGAGAGAGAGATACTGACACATATGCCAAACTAAGTTTATTTCCAAAACATCAAGATTTGTGAAAGTCTCGATTTTTTTCTTAAAACAAAAACAGCATTTAAAAATAGGGGTATATAATTCAAGTGTAACGAGTACCTATGACTAATTCAATACTAAAAGCATAGATAATATGATTAAACATTAGCAATAGTTCGGTCAGCAAAAAGACGTTGATTAACTGTTTTTCCCCTAAATTGTGTTATAAATTATTGCGTTACCTTATGCTTGTGTTAGTTTTAACAATGGTGTTTGATAAGAACAATGAAGATGACCTTGAACATTTAAAAAAAAATTATGTACTTTGCTTCTTCGATAATTGCATCAACTTCAGTGAAGGTGGGTTTTCGCTAAAGGTGAATTGTAAATCTCTGAGTGCCATCTTTTAAGTACGACCCTTCAGTTATTTTGCGAAGAGATTCTAGAAGACTAATGTGTTTGCTGCGTTGTAAATTAACATATTTCCGCCCAAATTAGCACGAATAATGTTTGCATATATGTATTTATGACCTTCGCGTTATTTCTAACACGATAGTCTCAAGTTTGAATCCGGGTTGCAATCTGTAAATTTTCTGTGAGTCGAGCAAGCTATGATATGTACCTGAATCACGTTATGGAAAATAAAGGCACCTATGATTAGTGCTAACCATACTATCCCTTCAAAGAGCAGGGTCACTGAAAAAGGTGAACTGATAAATACAAACTAACAATAACACAGGTTAAACAAAAAGGGAACTTGCTTTACAATTTATCTTGTATGAAAGTCTAAAACAACTGTTTCTAATGTAAACAATTTAGATTTTTGTTTCATTATATTTATTTTATGTAGGCTATATTTTTAAAATATTCAGTTACTAGCAGTTACTTGATTGTTTTGTTGAATCTTACATACATTTCTGTATTTAGGCAGCTTTCTTATACAAACCATTGCTTAATTTCTTGGAAGCTAGTTACTAACTTGACT